CTGCACGAATTGTTAGAAAAGCGCGAGAATAGGATATAAATTGGTCATGTTTTATATCTAAAATATTATATTTTTATATTAAAATATATGAATAATTTATATCCATCAAATACCCCCACACTTGAATTTTTGCTCGTCCTCGAGGAAAAGAATTTTGAAAAAGATATGTTACTATATTTTTTTTTTTTTTAAATTATGGCGAATCTTGTAAAATGAAAATTTAATCAAATAAAATCTATCATGCTTTCAAACTTTATAAATTTTCTATATTCATCAAATCTTTACCTTGTTTTTACTTTTATTTTTATTCAACAAAAATTGTACCTTCTTTCTTTTTGAGACTTCTCTGAAATTGATAACTTTATGATCATTTGCATTGAGTATTCTTCATCTTTTGTCCATAGGCTTGCCCTTTATGTCTATCTCCACTAATGTAGACTAAACACTGATTTCTAAAATCTTTTAGGACTTTTTCTGGCTTGTAATGTTGGCTTCAGGCTGGTAGGTTAAAGGTTATATTTGTAGTGACTTGCCTTTTTCCAGTTTTGGAGCAGAATATTTCTAAGATAAGACTTTCCAAATATTTGCTATTGATTTTTTTTTTTATACTTATATTGCTTGAACATAAGATCAATCTCTCCTTCCTTTTTTTTTCTTTTTTTTTTCTTTAATTCTGATTCTTTTTCAAAATGAGCTCCAAACTTATTTTCTGAAAAAGGACTTTTCAAATCATAAGCATGAATGTGATATTTAAATTTGGGCATACTTAGGTATCAAAAGAAAAAATTAGGTCTTCAAGCTTCAAAATAGGTGCTAGGGATTTTTTTTTTTTTGTAGTAAATTTTTGTGCAATATCTAGAAAAGACTGAGGTAAACAAAGAAAGCCTAAATTCATATTTCAAAAATCAGTGTTGTCTAGGATTTCGCCTCGAAAGACATTTGGGGCAAGTTCTAGCATATAGATTATAAGTTCTACTTGCTTTTGATCATAATGCTTCTCAATCTCAGAATGTCTTGCCAAGTATTGAAGATATTTATTCTTGCCTTCATAAAAATAAACTTAAAAATAAGAAAGTTATGTGGTAAATATAAAAAATATATATTTGACATAGAATGATAAGAGTTTTATTTTGATAAATTAACACTTTACAAGAGGCATAATTATAAAAAAATCTAATATATATATATATATATATATATATATATATATAGATATATAGATAGATAGATAGATAGATAGATAGAGACAGAGAAAGAGAGAGAGAGAGAGAGAGAGAGAGAGAGAGAGAGAGAGAGAGAGAGAGAGAGAGAGATAAATAGATAGATAGATAGATAGATAGATAGATAGATAGATAGATAGATAGATAGGTAAAAATCTTTTTGGCTTTCAAATATACAACTGCAGAAGAAAGCTTGAAAGAAACTACAGCCGCACACCTTTTGCGTATAAATAACAAGTCTAGTTTGTATATAAACTAGAAAACTACCTGTGCCAACATATGAATTACATTATTAAATTAAGCAACCAGTTACTTAGGCATACCGATCACCATGGAGTTACTCCTATATAGGTGACTCTGTTTTTGTAGAGGCCTTCATGAGATGTTCTGGTTGTACAATAACCTGGATATTAACTAGATCAATTGATTAATCATTTAACTATTTAAATCTATGTTGGAATTATGAGGCTCCATTTCTTCACCCTCAATGGCTACGGGTAAGGAACTATAGTTCTGAGTTTAACGTCGCCAGCTTGACTTATTAATTGTAGACTTCATCAATCTATCAAAGTGACAAATGGTTGTTGCTCAAAATTCCCTCCAAAATATAATTTTAACATGTGACCATTTACCTTAAATTTGTCTCCTTCATTGGTTTGTTGAATTTCAATTGCTCCGTATGAAGTAATATCTGTAACATTGTAAGGACCCGTCCACCTGAATTTTAATTTTTCTGGAAATAGCCTGAGTCTATTATTGTATAGAAGTACATGATCTCCAATTTTAAAAGTTTTCTGTCGGATTAAATTGTCGTGCCATTTTTTTGTTTTTTCTTTAAAAATTTTGGCATTTTCATAGGCTTCTAATCTGAGTTCTTCCAATTCATTCACTTGAGAAAATCTATTTTTACCAGCAGAGGTTAATTCAAAGTTCAATGCTTTCAACGTCCAAAAAGCTTTATATTCTAATTCAACTGGAAGATGACAAGCTTTTCCAAAGACTAATCGATATGGAGACGTACCAATTGGCGTTTAAAATGCCGTTCGATATGCACGCAGTGTGTCATCTAATTTTGAAGCCCGGTCTTTTATAGAGATTCCAACCGTTTTTTCAAGTATTCTTTTTAATTCACAGTTAAAAACCTCAACTTGCCCTTGTGTTTGAGCATGGTATGGTGTTCCTGTTTTGTGAGTCACACCATATTTTGACAATAATGCTGAAAATTGTCTATCCATGAAATGAGACCCTTGGTTACTAATGATGACTCGTGGTGTACCAAACCTGGTAAAAATATTTTTCTTGAGAAAATTGCACACAGTTTGAGCATCATTTTTCCTTGTTGGGATGGCTTCAACCCATCTTGAAACACAATCCACAGCCACAAGGATATATTCAAAAGAATGAGATGAAGGAAAAGAACCCATGAAATCTATTCCCCATACATCAAATATTTCACATACCTGTATTGATTGCAATGGCATCTCATCTCTTTTAGTGATATTACCTGTTCTTTGACACCTGTCACACTGTGCAACGTAGACATGAGCGTCCTTAAAAAGTGTTGGCCAGAAAAATCCAACCTCTAGAACTTTGAAGGCAGTTCGATTTGCTGCATAATGTCCTCCAACTGCTCCATCGTGGCAATGATACAAAATTTTGGTCATTTCTTCTTCTGGTACACATCTTCTGATAATATTATCTGCACAAATTTTAAACAAGTAAGGGTCATTCCACAAATAATATTTAGCATCAGACATCAATTTTTTCCTCTGTTGGTAAGTGAGATTTTGGGGTGTCCATTTTCCAACCAAGTAATTTGCAATATCTGCAAACCAGGATGGTTGAGTCACAACTGAGTTGATAGAAAAAATATGTTCATCAGAAAACTCTTCTTTTATATCACATGACTCAAGTGGAGGGTTCTCTAATCTAGACAAATGGTCAGCTACCTGATTCTCTATTCCCTTTTTATCTTTTATTTCGAGCTCAAATTCTTGGAGAAGTAAAATCCATCTTAACAATCTAGGTCGCGCATCTTTTTTTGCTAAGAGTTATTTTAGAGCCGCATGATCAGTAAAAATAGTGACCTTGGTTCCTATCATATAGGAACGAAACTTATCAAATGCAAATACCACTGCTAGTAGTTCTTTTTCAGTCGTGGCATAATTTAGTTGAGCCTCATTCATTGTCCTGCTGGCATAGTAAATGAGACGAAAAATCTTATCTTTTCTCTGGCCTAAAACAGCTCCAACTGCTGTATCACTAGCATCACACATGACCTCAAAAGGTTGGTTCTAATTAGGGAACACAACTATATGGGCAGTTGATAATTTTTCTTTAAGGGCATCAAAGGCTTTCATACATTCACCTGAAAATTCAAACTTAACATCTTTCATTAAAAGGTTAGTCAATGGTTTTGAAATCTTTGAAAAATCTTTTATGAACCGTCTGTAAAATCCTGCATGACCTAGAAAGCTTCTAATGCCTTTAATAGTTGTGGGAGGGGGTAATCCTGCTATAAGATTAATTTTAGCCTTATCAACTTCTATCCCCTTTGCAGTGATTTTATGTCCTAAAACAATTCCCTCATTAATTTTTCGTCATCAAGTTTTAAAATTTTGAGTTCCAAATCTAATTACAATGAAAATTAAAAGAAGGAATTGATACTTGGAACGGCAATAAAAAGAGCAGTGAAGAGGTTGGAAATTCGAAGAAAGAGAGTCAACGGTAGAGTGATAGTATAAGAGAGAAAGAGAAATAAATTATTAAGAATTTAAACATAATTCCTTATTTTAAGGGAGACTTAAAAAAATAAATTAGTTACTATTAAATACTTTCAAATGTGCTATATTTGGAATAAAATATGCTATTATTGGAATAATCAAAATATGGTAACATTAATATAAAAACTATTTTATGAGAGTCCTACGGTGTAAAAATCTCTCTACTACTTCAAATTTGTCACTTTAATTGGAAAAATTCTCTAAACCACAATCCATAACACATATCTTTTGAAAAAAAAAGTATGACACTTTGTACACATCGTAAATCATGCCACGTAAAACGTATCCGTAGTCCACAACGTATTTATTTTAATTGTTTGAAGTTGTGGTTAAGTCGCATGAAACTCGTATTAGAGTTGGGATTTACGTATCGTGACCATGTTACGGGAACCGTACATATTATCACAATTATTTATTTATTAATCGTGCCTAAAGCAAACTACGAATGTTTATGAGTGATTTTTCTAAATTATTTTGAGATTATTGGAAGGCCAAGAGTATATAAGTATGAAATTATTGTGAAAGAAGTGATGTACTCTTGTTTTAAGAGTAGCACTAAGAATTTTAAAGTCATTTAATCAAAATTGCCACTCAAAATTACGGCTAAGGTCTACTAATGTTTCTATTTTTATTAATAAATATTGGATACATTTTGTGAACATAACTCTTTGCATTTCTATTATATATAATATTATAATATATGGTTAAGGGGTACGAACACAGTAATTAGAAGTTGTACAAAACTTCATCTGAATTGTACCTTAAATTTGGCTCTATTTAATTGGTTATTGAATCTTGTTGCCTTTTTTCTGTTGGACAGGTGTATTGCCAGTTCTCTTTTAGCAGCTCCTTTTACATTCTTTATTTCATAATTTCCCAAATACTCTCCTCTTTGTAGTGACAAGCGTTTCTAAAATTTGAATTGTGTGAAACAACTGGATTCCACCTTTGATTTTCAACTTCCACACCCATTTCCATTTGTGTCATTTTTCGACCATTCATTTCTTGGTATGTTCCTTTCCTCTATTTTTTCTTATTTCTCTCTATTCTGGGCTACCTCACATACATGATATTTGCTTTATGTTCTCTCTTTGTTCATTTGTGAGTACAGGTTTGGAGTTGCAATATTTGCTACTTCTTATTAATTCTCTGTGCATGAAGATTATACATCTGAGAATCAATTCATGTGTAAGGAGCCTTATGTATAAAGAGAAATTGTTTAATTTTCAGAGCCAGAACAATGAGCAGCCTAATCAGGAGAAAGAGTTAAATTTCAAGTTTTTCCAATTCTCAAGCCCTTGGGGTGCATTCCACATTCTTTTCAGACCCTTTAAGTTTTGGATCTATTTTTTTGAAAAAAAAATTTAGCGTCTGTTTTTGTTTCTGTAATGATGACAGTCAGTTACTGATTTTGATACTTTATCTGTATTGAGCAATTCTTCTTGGGTAAATACTTCAGCTTTAGTAATGAGATACAAATTTTTTAAAATAGTTCACCTCTAGATTTAATTTCTGTAACTGACTTGGCTTTCTTATAATTTTGCTTATATGATACAAATTACAACTGAATTTACCTATGATTTTCTCACTCTGGATTAACGTTGCTTGGTTTTTTTATATATATATGTATTTGGTACATGGTTTAGGTTATTTCGGGAGAATATTTGGGAGCAGCGGATGATTGTGAATATATTGGAGATCATGAACAGCATGACTATGTACTGCCTTTGATCATTGTGTGAAAATTAAATTGTACTTGGTTTAGTTACTCGCATCCATTATTAACCTGTGAAGTCATCTCTGTTGGATATATAGGAGATATGCACTTGTTCAGTATCATTTCGAATCAAGAAATGACAAGACAGTCGATCCAGGTACCTTCCATTTCATTGTTTCAGGAAATTGCATTACATTTGGTTTAGTTACATAAAAATTAGATCATAACCGTGAAAGACAAAACAAATTCCAAGTATTGTTTTGAGGTGATATCACTTTAAAAACTAGCTATCAAGTACAAATTATTTCTTAGAAGATGTTTTTCAACAAGCATTGCTGAAAAATTTCCAAGAAACTATTCAAATACTATTAAGGTTTACTGGATAAAAGTGATAATCGTTATAACTGATAGTGCATGCATGACAAGATGTTTTAAATTCTTGAAAAGGAAGAGAGATGAAAATAATAGTTTTTGGTTCCATATATATAGCTGTTCTCACGCCACGAAATGAGCTCGATGTTTCAACCCCGCAGGAGCATTATTGTAAACTTTATCATCTATAGTTTTTCAATATTTCATTTGGATAACAACAGATAAATTTAAGGTCAAAAGAGTTCTTTATTATTAATTGATATCAAATTAATACTTGCACATCTATTAGTAATGTTGCAGATCAACAAAATATAACAAGTTTGGTTTTTGGACATATTTCAGTACATGAGCAAATTAAATATATGACCATTACGAAGACTTTTATATATATACATCATTGTGCATGTATAATAGGATATTTTTATCTATAGTATAATATATGCAAAAGACAGAAGTCCAAATATTTGAAGTTAGATTCTTCTTTACTCAAATAGATTGAATGACTTGGTAACATGTGTACTAATTAATTACTCTCCCTGTTTGGCTTATACGGACGAAGTTGAAAAGCTAGAAGCTGGAAAATATTTGAAGGTTTATCATATCAAGATTTGCCAAAACAATAGATAATTTTGATTCCGTTATCATTTTTCTGCATCTTAAATATTGACAAGAACAAATCACACCAAATTATTATTTTAGAATTCATCAAATTCTCCTTGTGATAGCAAACCAGGGCAGCTAGGATTACAATATGCAACAAGCACCTATAGTGCTCAAAAGTCCTTCAGTAAATTTGTTCTCTTGCGATCAACGGTTGGCATTCAGTAAAATCATGAGTACGAATGCAGAAAAGGAGAAGTCTACTCCACGGTGGAGCTTAATTTAATTTGTTTGCTCTCTAAAGTTATGTATTTTTTATACAAATTGTACTAGCCAGGGGGATCCACCAACTTTTTGAAAAAATAAGTGGGAATTTTGAGATCTTTGTAAAAATCTGTAGGAAATCAAGAGAGACACCGACTACTTTGGTCTGTGCATTTTAATATGTGCAACATGCGTAACTTCTAAAGATTTGCTTAAGTATTGTAAAACTCAAGTTTGTACGTTGATTCCAAAATAATTGTATGTTACCTTAAATAAGTGAAATTTGATTATTATTATTATTATTATTATTATTATTATTATTATTATTATTATTATTATTATTATTATTATTATTATTATTATTACATAAATTTTGTGATCTTAGTTGGCTGTCCAACAAACTTGTGTTGAGAAGCATCGAGCTAAATTGCCCAAAATTACTTCCACTCATGCTAGGCCCGTGCATTTACACGGGCAACATTTCTAGTATCAACTAGAAATCGAGATAAGCAAACTGCCAAAAATAATCTAAGAAGCAATTATTCCATTTAAATAATCAACTTCTAATTGTTCAAAGAAAATTAAAAGTTTCTAGGACCAACGCTTATAATTGTTTCCATCTAAAGGCTCAAGCTTTGAGAGAACAAGAAGTATTTTATTTCAAGTGGTGGCCATTAGTCAATATTATATGCGAAATCGCTTTCAAATTATAAGAAAAATGAGTAAATAATATTGATAAAAAACAAAATAATATTGATAATAAACAAGAAGTAAAGAAGAACAACTTATCAAAAATACTATATCGTGGCAAGCTGTCACTCTTTCTTCTTACTCTAGATCGTGTGGTAGAGCTCACTTATAAGAATTCAAATTCCGAACTTCTATTTTATTCGTAATAAGACAATGCCTACATTCAAAAAGACGATCGATAAGAGATATAGCTGTGAAAGTGTTGAGTTAGAGGAACTCGATTTTGCATCTTGCTTATGATAAGTAAATGAGAGGTCTTCAGCAGAACATGCGTGTACTAAAAGGTGTACGATTTGAACGATATGATCATGGAAAAACATAAAGCTAAAGTTGCATAAGCTTATACGCTAAACTCTAAACGATTGTCGCTAGCAGATGCCATACACATTCCATAATAGAAAGTTGGTCAATAAAAAATTATTGCGTCAGGTATCATGCTTACAAAGAAATATTTAGGTAAAAGAGCAAATAATATCAAATCAGATTTAAAACCATATTCGACCCGACTCACCGTTTGTCACTCCTCCTACTCCCATTCTATGTTTAGACCATACCGCATTGTTAAGCGGAAATGTTGATCCTTTTTCCCTTATTAAACTATACTAATCGGTTCCGTTAGCAAATATCGCTCACTTTTGTGATAGCAAGGGCATAATTGCCGAAGCTATTAATGACTGGCATATCTAAATTTTTTTGCATAATTCAGGAGCAAATTTTCTCAAGATTGAATTAGGGTGGAATATGGCAGATAAAGTTTTATATATATTCCATCGGTTCAACTTAACCCAATATTTTTCAATGCATAACAACAAAAAGTAAGAAAAAATTACCCAATTAAATTTTAACATATATATTAAATTTTGAATTCAAATTTAAAAGATAAAGAGTTTGGTGCAAAAAAGCTTAAAAATTGAATTGATTGAATTGATCGAATATATATTCTGAATTCACCTTGAAGGTGAATACTTAGGCATATTTCCTACAACCATAACAAAAGATTGATAAATAATAACAGAAGATTGATAAACAGCGATCACGTAAAATAAAGGAAAATAAATTGTCACATAGCCTACTGCATTTAAGTCCATAAGATAAATTTATCCAAAGAAAACATCCGCGAGCTAAGTTCCAAACAAAGTGAATTTACCAAACTTATTTAAATATTCTAGAGAAATAGCTGAAGCATGATATTTATTATTGAATAAAAAGTAAGAGAGCTGAACCTTCAGTTGAGCTTAAGGACGTTTATTGGTATTGATGATGTTTTAACTTCAATATCACATAAGAGGGGTGATTTGTGTGGTGTCTAATTTTTCGCGTGTACTAATTATCGAAGAATTTGGTTCTTCTAAGTGTTCATTAACCTGCTGTTGCTGAAATAGTAAATGCGAAAAGTAAAGAACACAAGGATTTTTACGTAGAAAACACCTGGCTCAAAAGGTTAAAAAACCACGACCTACTACTCAGTAGGATTTTTCCCAACACTTCACTAAATCACTTAGCCAAAACAGTATTTACAAAATAATTTATAAACCTAAGGATTAACTCTAATCCCGTTGCGGCAACCAACCTCTAACTGTTGCGATGACTTCAAGTTAACTCTTACTTGAATACTCAATGTACCTATTACAATTGCTTCTAAATAAAGCTGAAAGGTAAAATATGAAAACACCTACTACAATTGAACTAGAATAAAAAACAGATACTTGGAACTGGTTCTTCTATCTAGTTCATGCAGCTTCAGGTTCACACACTTGAATCACACAAGAATTGCTTGCAAAATGCCTCGCTATTTTGCTCTCAACTCACATTTAACTTCAGCTTTTGTGAGTACCTGTCAAATGGGAACATCCTGCAATTTATAGAGTTAGTAGAATAGAAAACAACTAGAGTTCTAATGCTACTCTTCCTTAGTTGAAGAGTTCTAGCTATCTTCAACCTCTAACTCCTTCCTTATCTTGGATAGTGTTCTTTTTCGGTAAGGAGTCCTTCTCCTTATCAATTATATAACCTTTTCGATCAAGAGATATCAGATATATCAAGTTAAACTTATCTCCTTCACGTGCATCCCTTATGCTCGAATTTGCCCGTGTCTGTGTACATAGGGGATGGACCTGGTTCATGCCTGAGTTTCCTTTGTCAATCTTCAAAACAAGACTTCACTTGGGCCAACAAATTCCCGTTTTTTGATGATGACAAACTCTGTGCTTTTCCCTACTTCAACTCAATGTTAGAATATTTTACCTTCTTATCACTTATCGTCAAGGACCAGGTTCATTAGGTTATAAATATCACTGTTTAAAGCATAGCCTTTTTCCCCCTTTTTGCATCATCGAAAAGTTGCATAAATAAGTAAGATAACCAGATTTTAAAAATTAGTCATGGTCATTGGGGCTACTTCAAATGCGATTATGGATTAATCATCATATATCAACTTAAGGATATTTGCCATCTAAGAAATATAAACAAACAGTTAGAGCAAAAGACAGTAAATTTCATTGATGATTGATATGATCCTACCACAAAGCATAAGAAGAAATAAAAATATTGGAATCATGAGCAAAAGAAATAAAAAATCCCGAACTGGGTCACTAGTTGATCTACACTAGGTTAGGAGGCTTAAGGATGGGAAGGACCGGGTTCTTGGTTTTTGGCTTGGAGCAGTTTCAGCATATCTTGAAGAATGTCATTTTTCTTCTCTTTTTTCTTTTTCTAACTCAGCTTTGAGAGCATCTCTCTCAATCAACACCTCTGCCAACCTCTTATTCAGCCTATCAATCTCAGTATCCTTAGCCCTACTTTCTTGAACCAAAGCTCGCACTTTGCTATTCACTAGTATTTCTTGGATAAACCAGGTTCTTTGGGAGTGGTCTGGACTTCATAGTCACAAGTAGTTAGAGTGTTTGTCCCAAAATGATCCTTGCTTGTACCAACCTCTCATTTCTTGATGGGTACCTTGAAATGTGAAAGTAAAATAGTGAGAATAAAGCCATAGGGTATAACATGAGTTTTGGTGCCATTTAGAACCCTATCCAGAAGCTGGATTATAAATCCGGGCCAAATGATTTGCCTCCCACTGTCCAAACATTCCATAAGGACTATGTCCATGAATGTGGCCATATGCCTCCTTTCCTACTTGGCAGCACACATCTGTTTACAAATTCGAATAGCACTTTGTGGGATGGCTTCATATCACTTTTGTAAATAGCCGTGGGCTCAGGTTCCTCTTCATTATCACCAAATTTCCTAGTAATGGCAAGGGCAGTAGGGAGATTTTCTAGGCTTGGCCATTTGAGCTTTGTATAGTCATTGTATCCTTCAGCAGGTACACCCAAGATCTCTCCTAGCTCCGTTGCATCAAAAGTGACTTCCACTCCTTTCACCACACTGGTGACCCTTTCATCTTTTATCTCATAATTAGCCATAAACTCTACAATTTCATTTCTGGCCAGCCTGCCATTCATCTGAAGGGCCATGTCCTTCCAGTCTTGCAATTTTAACTTTTCCAAAAGCATCACCATTCCTTCCTCCTCCAAGTACCTGAGGAGTCTGCCTTTCAAGATAGTCCTCTTTCCAAATTTGACCATCTTGTCTTTCTCAACATCATAATCATCTTCTTCTCGAAGGACCAGGTCCATCTCATCAATGTCAACAACCTCAACAGGCTCGCCCATCTTCTTCTTTCCCTTAGCAGCTGCTTTTCTTCTACTTTCTTCTAAGGCTTTCTCTAGTTCTACCTCATTCTGCTTCTTCTGGCTCTTCCTCTTGTGGGAGGAATTTCAATAGTGACAGAAGGGGCAGCTTCCTTTTCATGTTTGCCCTAGCAGTGCCAGGAGTTTTAGCCTTTGAACTTGCTTTCTTCTTTGGATTATAACTCTCGGTTTCTCTTTTCAGTAGGTATGCAAGGGTTTCTTGTTCAGATGGAACATGTTCATCTATGTTTTTCCTAAGTTGAATCAGCCCTTCAGCAGCTTTTCCAGGCCCACTTCCCCCTGTTTTCCTCACACTCTCCTCTATTCCAGCAGATTCCTCGCCCCAAACAACCACTGCACCCGTTTCTTTGGTTAGACTAACAGGAGTGGGTATTTTTCGCTTTCCCCTCAGAACACTCCGAGCACCCTCACTCTCTTTTTCTTTTTCTTTTTCATTTTTACCACCAACCCTTCCAGACTTAGTAGTTTCAACACCTGCTATAGATCCTACCAGCACAAACCTCTACTCCAAATTCGTAGCAACCTCACAGATAGTTTCAGGAGTAATTTTAGGGCCAGATGTTACCTGTTCAGTCTCAGAAGAAACAGTTTCTTCCCCTGCAGTAGCAGATTTGAACGATTCATCAGACTTCTAGGGTTCTTCTTCCCTACCCGCTTTCAATTGTTCTTTTATTTTCTTGATCTACTCTCCAACAACGACAACCTTGCGAGCCATCATCTTTACTCTTTTCTTGGAAGTTGGTGCGGTTGAAGGGGTGATAGATGGCATGGGTATG